CTGGGGGCCGAAGTCTGCCAGCCTGGGGCCAAGCTCTCAGAGCATGGGGGCCGAGTTCTGCTGGCCTGGGGGCCCTGCTCTGAGAGTCTGGGGGCTGAGCTCTGGGGGCTTGGGGGCCCTGCTCTGAGTCTGGGGGCCAAGCTCTAGGGGCCTGAGCTCTGGGGGCTGAGCCCTGTGACCCTCACCTGCAAGGAGAAAATGACGACTGTGAAGCAGACGGTGGTAGTGATGCCTACAGCCATGATGACGGCCTCCGTGTCATAGAAGCTGGCAATCATGCCCACCATGTAGGACAGACTGATGGTCAGGATGGACTGCAGGAAGATAGGAGACCACCACTGACCAAGAAAGGAACCAGGCTGGCCAGGCTCAGGACCACACACTGGGGTACTAGAAGGCTGGGTTGGGGGCCAAGGGCTCAGGGTTACCAGTGCAATGATGTTCCAGGGGTGCTTTCTGCGGAAGTCCCCACAGCAGCTGAGGACAATGAGGGAGACAAAGAAGACGGCATAGGACACATAGTAAGTCCATACGTTCGCCAGAACAAAGTCCTTCACACCGCCGACAAATGTGAACACAGCCACCGAGGACAAGGTCACCGACAGCTGCACAGTCAGTACCAGGAACACCTGCAGGGGGAGGAAGCTCAGTGTCCCATGTGTCCACCTGCCCTGTCCAGCTGCACATCCATCTCAGCTCATCCCTTCCTGACCCTGCCTGTGTTCACCTGCCAAACACACTTACTCCTGCCCACTCCCACCTGCCCCGAGCCCTGCCCCTGCCTCTGCACCTGCCCGTACCCTGCACATGCACCTGCCCCTGCCCCAGCCCTGCACCTGCCTGTACCCTGCACATGCACCTGCCCCACACCTGCCCCATTCCCACCTTGCGGATAAAAGCCTGCCGGATGCTCTTGTCATCCCAGTTGGTGGCAGGGAAGTCCTGGTTGTCGTAGTAGGAGGGAGGGCACTCCTCATGATAGTTCCCCTGAAGAGGAGCTGAGGGCAGAGCGAGGGTCAGCAAGCACAGCCCCTAATGGACTCCCTACCCCACCTCCTCCCCAAGTCCCTACTCACAGCCTGGGTCCGGTGCCTCGAAAGCCTGTGGTTGTCCATAAGGGTTGGGTGGGAAGGGACTCTGGGGATAGGGCCCCTGTGGGTAGCCTCCTTGAGGGTAGGGGCCCTGAGGGTACCCCCCTTGGGGATAGGGGCCCTGTGGGTAGCCCCCTTGGGGGTAGGGGCCCTGTGGGTATGGGGAGGGGCCCTGGGGGTAGGGGGCAGGGCCCTGGGGATACCCTGGTTGACCATAGGGGCCAGACTGGAAAGGAGGCTGAGGATAAGGGGCCCCAGGGTAAGGAGGCTGCCCATAGGGAGGTACAGGGGCCTGGGGCCCCCCAGGATATCCAGGGTTGGGGGTAGGGTAGCTGTCCCCAGACACCAGGAAACTCTTTTCATGGGACATGGTTCCGGCTTCAGTGGCCTCCCCCTAGAGGAGAAAGAGGGCTCGGTCACTCCGCGGAGGCTTCAGACCCGCTGTGGGTGGCCTCACCTGCAACCTATCCTGGGAAAGGGAGGCCCAGAAGGCTCTGACCTTTGCCCCTGGCTGTAGGATACCCAACAGACGGGGCTGGGAAGGCCGGAGGGCCCCTGGGGCAGGCCTGGGCGTCAGAAAGGGTCGCTCGTGGCCAGGCAGGGCGGAGGAGCTGGCGGCGGGCCGTCCCCGGGGACAGCGGCCCGGGGTGTGCCCACCCTGCCCTGCGCATCTCTGCGGTAAGCAGCTTTGAGAACTGCGCCGGCGGCCTCGATCCCCGGAAATCCCCAGGCCATCTGTGACGGAGGGGCCTGGCCGGCGAAGGCAGCAGGAGGGGCCGGCCTGCGACTGCGGCGGTGGCAGCCGTGGGGTGCGCAGGAGCCGGGGTGCGGGGGCGTGGGGGGAGGGCGGCGACCGAGGGCGTGCGGGAACAAAGCGCGCCGCCCCCTCCCGGCTCCGACAGTGTACAGGTTCAGGGCGGCAAACACGTACTCCTCGGGGCTGAGGGACAGCTGCTTGTTGCCGAGGAGCAGCTGGGTATCCACCGCCAGGAACTG